AGAGAACCATGCAGAAGCAATGTATTAAGTCCTGGATAGATCCTGCCTCCTTCATAAGTCCACATGGCTCTTGGATACATATCAGTTTAGGGGTCCCTAACCTATTTGGTAGGGAGTGAGTCCAGAAATAAATTCAGGTTATTCTCAGTAGTGGTCAGTATTCTGTTCACTATATGGGGGAAAAGAGAGAAACAGGGTGAGAACTTGGCAGTAAGTAGTCTTCATTGACTAAATAGAGCTTTGTTTCTTATGATCTACTTGCTAGGCAGCTTGCTCTTAGTCATAGAGTTTTAAAGATTACTGCTCTAAAGCTCTAATTTTGTAAACTCATCTGAGTAGGTCGACTCTTGATAACTCATGAAGCCATCAAGGGGATATTGTGAAGGTGTAAGATTTCCCCTCAGAGAATCAGCCCAGTAGTCATCAGCAAAGCTGATCGTTGAAACAAATTATTTTTCAGTAACCAAGTATGTAATTATCTTACACACAATAAAAATGTCTGTACATTCTTTGGAGAATTCTGATCCATTCCCTGGAACATGTTGATTTCTGAAGCCAGTTGTAAAATCTAAAACACTGATATCACAAGCAATTATAGAGATGAACTGAAATACAGATGTAAAAAAAGCTAATGGGTCATGAGTGTGCCATTTCAATAGTGCTGGTAGGTAGAATGTGTTTGTACTGTTTCAATCTTTAATTCTGGGGAATACAATTTTCTGAGAGTTAGATTCATTGTGGGTATTGAATTCTATTCACAGTCTTTTCACTTTCCAAAGGGCGTGGAGACTGCTTTTGAAAATGGATAGGCGCCTCCACCCCTCCCCCCGGCTTACTCATTTTCTCTGACTTTGCAGAACTGTGACTTATGCAAAGTCATAGGGAGCCAACGTCAGATCTGCAAATAGTTCTTCCATTCCCCTGTTCTGACTATTAGATCAGTGTTCTAATAGTGCACTGGATCAAATGTAGGTGTATTTTGAGGAGCTTTTCCTTATCAGGCATTTAATCCCTTTTAATATTGCGTTGCAACTGAGTTGGCATGCTCATAGATTAAGATTCCTTTGAGAAAGCTCTAACTAACAAGCCAAGAGGGAGTTACTTATTGTAATTACACTAAAAGTATCACAAGCAATTCTCTTATCATTCCCTAATAATTTAGATAAAGGATGCTTTAGTTAAAGATCAGATCAAATGTTTTAAAAATTCCCAAAGTTGTTTATTCTGAAAATAGGATTTAAGTTTCATGCAAAATGATTGTACTCTCCATTTTCTGTCTCATCTAAACTGACTCAAGATACTTGTCAGATAGGTAGCTCAGTTAAATTTTAGTTACATTTCCTAAAATAAATGCAATGAATTGATAAGTCTATGCAGATTTCCCTAACATCCAGATGGCCATTGTAATTTGATCTCTCACATACTAACAAAATGGTTTTATCATAACTGCCATAGCCCAGTAGTGATTACAACCAACAAATACTACATTAGCAAGACAAAATTTGATCTGGCTTCCTTTCATCTCACTTTGGTCATCTGAAAGTTAGTTATTGAATTCAATGTAGTCATATAGGTCTGTCTCCCTTATAGACAGAGTTAGGAACTTCAGTGAAAGACTGATCTGACATCTGCAAAATATTTTTTTGTACATTTGGATTAATCATTCTTGGGAAGTGCCAGTCTCTCTCTGTTGGCTATAGAGGGAACCTTGACAACCAACTTAGACAGGCAGAGTCTGGCTTTTAGAAGATTAATATTAGTGAGATGAATCCCACCCTTACAGAGATCAGAAAGACAGCAAACTATTGCTTCTTAATGCTATATTTTCTAATCCTTTTATGGGTGTCACATCAGCATATTATTCCAGCTGTGTTCATGTCTGTAATTTTTCAAAACAAAAATAGCATAAAAGTATCCATAACTAGAAACCTTGCTGCTTTCACAGGTGTGTTTTGTAAGACAAATAACCAAAATCCTTATCCTGTTTGTTTTAGTCCTTAATATTCTCAGTCCTCTCCAGTTAATTCTGAACTTTTTAAAAGAGCTTTCATAAGGATATCAAATGATGGAGATGATTCCAATTTCCCTTTCAACAGCTATTATTACAGAATATTAACTGTGCATGTGGACAATATATAGAACAGCCTATGTCAAATCTCTGCGAATATTGGCTGTGACTCTATGCTGCTTAGCTGTTGTGTACATGTGAAAACTATCAAACACAGCTCACCTACTCATCTCAAAAAACAGTGGCACAGTGATGCCTAAACTTTGGTCTGCCAAGGGGCACATTATTCTTAAATGTGTTTATATATCAAAAAATGTTTGGAATACTAATATATTAAGTGTCCACTGTACTACTACATTGTGCTTGAACCTAGGCAGTTAGAGCAAGAGATCTGAGTTGTGTCAGTAATGTCTCTATAAAAAAACAAATGGAAGCAGGAGTAGATTTGTCTGACCAGAAGTAGGTGTCAACAATGTCTATATTTGAGGGTTTTTTTCTAGACTTCCTTTATAATCAGTGGGAGAGAAAATGGCATTCATAGGCATGATTTACTTAAGCATAAGGTAGATATCTAAAATAGGTCAGATGAATCATTCCCTATAAATCCCCTTTCTCTTTTTGGTGACAGTGAACCCAGAATGACTAGTTCGTGTATAAAAGCTTATATTGTAGAATTAGGTGAGATTGATCAGAAGCTTTGCTCAAGCATTAGAGTTTCGTCATCAAAGGTGGGATTTTCAGAGAAGCTGGTGCAAGTTAAGGCAATAGAATAAACATTAAGTCTTGTTAACCAAAAAAGCTAAACTGATCATTCAGAGATGGAGGATGGACTTCCTGGAACATAGAACAAGTGTTTGAATATTCTGATGGGATGCTGACATGTAGGAGGGCAAGATATATGAATGGCAAAACATCTGCCAATGTGTTTGCTCTGTTCATTTACTGTGTATATGCTTGTATATTATATATCTTTCATATTCTCTATTTGCTTCTCTATATACTTTAAAAGGACTATCAGTTACTGATATGCTAATGAAGAAGCAGCCTATCAAACACTGGACAATAACAGTGATTTATGAAGCAGAGAAAAGTCAAAGTCAGGCATGGAAGCACTGGTCAATCAAGACTGACAGCTTCAAAATAATTCACATCTTCTATAGCTAATACACTAACTGAGAGAACTTTCTTGAAGTATCACTACAATTAAAAGTACTTAATAATAGCAAAAGAGTAACTTGAAGTGTATTTAGTCCATCTTTGACCGGCAATTAGAACTTTTTTTTACATTGTGTTAAAATCTGGACATGTATGAAATCATCAGGACTAATTCCTGTGTTATTAAAATTATTTTGATAAAACACTGAACACAATACAAGCTAATGAAGATCTGTCTTCATCTTCTTTGTCTGATTTTGCCTTCTTAACTAAGCATCCCTATTAGTATAAATGTTCCTTCAAAAATTAAGGAGTAGAACCAGTGTGTTCTAGAGCTGATAAACATATGATTTACATAAAGTTATATTTTATTTACGACATTAACTGAAGGGTTTCACTATTGTAAAAACAGATGCCTAGAGGCTCTCTAGATTCTGGAATAGGAAGAGTGGGGAATCATCAGTTGCATTGTACATTTCTGAAAATCTTTTGGCTTGAAAGTCTCTACCTCCTTTCTTCCAAATTTTGTAAGACAAGAAATGACCATTCCAATGATCTAATCTTTAATTTTGCGTAACACAAACTAAAAAATCTTATCTTCTAATCTCTTCACCAAGACCTTAACTTCTCTTTGAAACTTATCAAATTTAAAGACATCCAATTTTAATTTAGGCTGCAAGTGACAAAGAATCCAACACATCCTGTAAGAAGTTATTCTGGTGAACAACTTACTGTCAATTTCCAGTCAGTGAAAAAACTAAAAAGAATGTCTCATTTCCTGCCTGAATTTATCTAGCTTCAACTTCGAACATTAAATTTCATTATAGCTGTTTCTGCAAACTTTGATATTCACTTCCTTATACATCCAAGAACTGTATTTGCCTGCCTAGCTGAAGCATCACATGGTAAGCACTTATTTATTTAGTTATTTGTCATGACTCCTAAATCCTCTTCCTGGTCATTTGTTCCAGAATATAGTCCTCCATTTTAGCCATTCAGCTTACAGTTTTGTTTCTAAGAAGAGAAGATTTAACATATTATTGCTGTTTACAATTACATGATGGGAGGTTGTAGAGAAGACGAAGCTATACACTTCTTGGAGGTACACAGTGGAAGGACAAGAGACAACAGACACAACCTGAAGCACAGGAAATTCTGACTCCATATAAGGAAATGCGTTTGTACTGTGAAGGTAATCAGACAGAGGAGCAGGTACTCAGAGAAGCTGTAGAATCTCCACCTTGGAGATATTCAAAACCTGCCTGGACAAGGCCCTGGGCAACGTGCTCTGCCTGGATCTGCTTTGCACAGGGGGTTCGCTACAGACAGCTGGAGGTCCCTTCCAGCCTCTGTGATCTATGATTTTATGATGCTAGATATGTGATCTTGATTTGGCAGGTTAAAATTCACGTTGTGCAAATTAATCATTGCTATTTACATTCCTGTAGCACCAAGGACTCCTATACCTGGCATATCCACTAGGGCAGGTGTGGTGGTCATTTGTACAGAGATCCTTTCAAGCTTGTGAAGCACTATGAAGAAATATCATGTAGGTCATTATATTTAACAGTTATTTAAAAAAAAGTTTGTAATAATTGACCAATTGCAGGTAGGAGCTGACATACTGAGAGTGAATGGAAATGGCTTGAAAAGTGGAAATATGCCTGCAAGGTCCTTTTCTCTAAAAAACAATTTTATTCTTCAAGTGATAGCAAAGAAGGATCAAGTGGAGATAGTCGAAAAGAAAAATGATCTTTGCAGCTGTATTATGAATATTGTTTCAGTTAAGAGCAAAAAAGAGTTGTAATATTTGATAGGTTAAGATTAATTTGGACAAGAGCATTAACTTTGTGAATACCTACAGACTTGAAGAAATAATATGCAAGATGGAAACATAATCTGATTTTCAGTACCTAAAAAGCTATCTGCATCACCTGACTGCCAGACAAGCCTGGTGATCACATCATCCACAGAAATTCTGAAAGAAGGCAATTTTAAGGACTGGA